CCCGCTGATATCGAACAATGAAGCGTTCGAAAAAGGGTCCCATCGAACCCTGACTGCAAGCACCGTACTGCGAAAAGCACCGCTCAAAGTGCACATAGGTAGTCAACAAACCGCCGCTCTCGAATCTGTGTGTGTGTGTGTGTGTGTGTGTGTGTGACCCACACACACACACACACACACACACACACACACACACACACACAAATTCGTCATTGCGAGAGTCCCCGCCGCGTTCGAATGCGGCCATGAAGATCGAACTCGTTACCATTCCCTCACTTGCTTGACGGATTCATGTCGTCGCCCCCCTCCTCACGTCGTCCACCTCCTCCCCCCCCACACCTCGCCATCACCTCGACCAGAAGCTGCAGCACAGCGTCACCGTCCTTCATTGCACTGGCTACCGCATCAATTTGAGTGGCATTTGCTGTGCACCTTCCGCATTCGCCCGGGCGAGAGTCCCCGCCGCATCCCCGAGACCAGCGCATAGAGTTCGTGTCGACTCCTCCATTGAAAACCGTGAAACGGATCTCGAAGAGCTGCACCCTTCCTCCGCCGAGGCTTTCCTTCTCTCAGTCCGGCGGGACTTCCTGCTGCTTTCAGAATCTTCCTGTGGGGTGCCAAGGCAGGTTCCGTTATCCGAACCCCCGCTATGTGCACCAGGCAACGCGGAGGACTCCATCGTGTTGTCGCACATGGTTGACCTCTTCCCCTGCACCCACGCCATCTCTTCCCACAACTCTTCCTCAAAAAGGAATGTCAAGCCCTCCCTCTTCTTGTCCTCGGCCGACATGTCCCAGAATGACGGCTTCCCAGACCCCCCGCACTTGTCGTGGATCTCCCTGTACTTGTTTTGCAGGTCAGTCCATTTCTTCCGCACGTCCTCCGCCGATCGGTGATACCCATCCTCCTTCATTCGCCTCGCCACCCAATCATTCCTCACCGATCGCCGCTGGTGTTTTTGTCTCGGTTGGACGACCGCCATCACTGCGTCATCCTCTCGCATGTATTTGGCCAGTGCCAGCCGCTCCTCCAAAGACCACGGATTTTTCTTTTGCTTCCCTCCTTCACCGTCATCCTTGGTATCACCATCGTCGGCCGAGGACCGAGGTGCAGCTTGCCGGCCTTGATGTGGCTTTCACCCGATCGGCCGAGCACCGGTACTTGAAAGAGTGGAGGTTGCAGGAGGCTGTGCGTCAATGGGGTGTTGTGTGCCCTGGCCACACTGCGGAGTGCTTACGGGTTCGTTATCCGGGGCGTCGCAAGACATGGTCACCGGATGCTTGGACATCGCCGGGAATGGGTACCCCTCCGCGGGCGGTCGGAAGCCGTTCGAGGGAGGTGTGTTCGGAGGCACGTATGGAGCTGCATTGGACGGTGGCCTTCCTCCGTCGTCGAAACGCGGGCGTTCGAACTGACCGAACATTCCATAGCCTCGGCAGTCGTTGCGCTGATCATAAAACACCGTCTCCCCGACCATTGGCGGATGCATTCCTGTCGACTGCCCAACCCCTCGTGCCAAACTCGCAACTGTAGCCGACTACAACGATGGAGGAAGTGGTGAGTATCTCATAGAAGCCGATCGCCCAAGCTCCGTTGGATCATGATTCCAAACCGGGGGTGGGCGATAATACCCCGGGTATGAATTCGCTGGCCGCATGTTGTTCATGTCCGAAGGGGACGATGGCAAACCCCCGGCTAGCTGACTCTCGAAACGCCCCGTGTTCTCTCTCTCCACACCGGCCCTCCTACGAGGATCGGTCATGCTCATACGGTCCCGTGACCACTGACAACAACTGATGTCATCACTGCCCTCCATCTCCCTATCTTGCAACCTCCCCGCACAGACCACTCCACAAACCTGTCTCTATGGCTATCTATCTATCTATCTATCTATCTATCTATCTATCTATCTATCTATCTATCTATTTATGTATCCACCTTGTAATACGTCCACCCATCTATCTCTGCATGTGCCTCACCGACGCATCAGAAAGTACAAAGCGTCATGACCTACGAATGTGAACACAACAACGTTTGCAAAAAACAACATGAGAACACCCAACATCAGAACGAAAACGACGGACATCACGGGCCGAACTACACTCGCCTTGCAACCATCGCAGTCGGCCGAACTTTCAACGACAACGAATATGGGACGACGACATCCACAACATCAACACGGGCAGACGTGTGGACGCAGCTCGCGATGTGGCAATGAGTTGCAAGCCACGCCTTCACGGTTTCTCACGACAACTGGCAGACGCTCCGTCGCACGGGATGTGCACGTGTCAACAGCAGACAACGACGGCCGACGGACCTGGCACCCGTGACCTCCCCGCCCGCTCAAAACTGCCGAAACGAATCCTTCGTCCCAACGTTCGGACCTCGCGTGCACAACGTCGTCGACGATCTCCTTAAGCCGGCCACCAACGATGGTGGGATGAAAGGCAGCACCTTCTCACATAGTCTGGTCGCGCTCCGACTGAAAATACTCTGCGGCTGAGGCACGCGTGAACGTGTTTGCCACGCCGCGTTTCCCACACAACGCTTCACTTAATGGAGAGCGGACGTTGGATTCGGAAGACGAAGCAGCCGACCCCCCCACAACGTGCGTGCAGCTCTCGCGAACGATCCGTTATCGAGCGCACTGGCCCGGCACCGCACGGGGCAGTGTGGGACCCTCTCGGCCGCGTCACGCAGGAGTTGGACCAACCTCGACACTAACGCGCAAATGGAGCTTCCTTAGGCTGCTCCGACCGAGTGCGCCAGCCATACCTCTCGCGATCCCCTACGACAGGATAGGGCCTACGTGAGGCGCGATTTACCTCCACCTTACGGGAGCTGTCACCTCCCATCGGTGGGCGTATCCCCGCCGAGCCACCAGTTCACAATACGAAAGCTAATCAGTTGCAATCGCAGAGGTGGACCAGCCGAGGGCGTTTCTCGTTCGCTGTAGCATAGGGGGTACGAGCGGTAATGCGCCTATGGGTCCCGTGCGCGAGCCGACATCTTGGGGGGCTGAAGTCCCAAGCGCGGCTTGACGTCGGTCGACTAGGACGCATCCCACACACCACGCGCACACCACTCGACGAACACAAAAAATGGGTAAGACACACACACGCACACGCATACAACGTGACGCAGCACAAACAACGCGACAACGCTCCTAGCCCCTCGGTAGCCAACCCATAACTCTCCGATGCGGAAATCGGATAAGCATCGCGCGTGAGACTTAGTATAAAACCGCGCGGACGCTGGGCTAACTCATATCGACTCGCAATGCAAGCGTACGCAAGCAGTCGCGATGATGGCGTACTATATAGTACCCATACTCACGTGGTCCTCGTTACTCTCGAGGGCCGTATTCGACACTCAAGTGTCGGTTGACACGCGCCTTGAGGGTTAATCTCTCGACGCTGGACACCCGCTATGCGCGGTTGAAGACCACACACCCTCTTCTGCACCCTTGTGCAGAGCGGGTGGTACACAGGTCCAAAGCCTGTGGTGGTAGTCATCTCTCGCGGCCCTAGGGGTGAGTCCTCCCCAGGCCTGGGCGAAAATCAAGGGGTTTGACTTTGACGGTTGCCACGGACTACAACGTCCAACCATAAAAATCTCTAAAAACCAAGCAAGACACGCAAGAACCCAAAAAGAGGGAACAGGGCAAGGGTTCCCTTGCTAACAAGGACTCGTGGCCTTGGGGTACCCTTCCCTCCGCGGGTGGTCCTCGCGGCCTACAATAATCCAAGCGCTGCGCCTGCGTGCAAGCCCAGCAATCCCATAACTTTTAAATGCTGGGCGGCGAGGAGTCGCGGCGGGATTCTAACATAACGCTGTGCGGCCGCAAACCAATTGTATGCCAACCACCGATGTCAATCATACGTGGTAATCGCGGCTCCGGCCTCGCGATATTGAATAATTGAAGGAACGCATCGTGAGGGGTCGCCCCTCACGATATTGAACAATTGAAGGACGCGCCGTTGGGCCCTCGCGACATCTCCACCTCCAGGGTGGGGTGTCTCGCCGGCCAAGGTAAATAGGCTCTGTGCGAGGGAAAGCCCCTTCCGTGCAGAGTCTAGGGCTTGGGATGTCCTGGACAAGGACTTAGAATCCCGGCCCAGGACCAACGTCCGACTATAAAAGCCCCAAGACGCAAATAGGCAGAGGGGAGGGTCTCCCCTGCGCCCCTCGACCTCAACCTTTAAACGGGTTTTAATGTGGCCTCTTAGGCCTCCCGAGCACTCATCATAGGTACACCCACGCGTACATGTACAAGGGAAATAGAGATGCGACGATCACTTCTCACAGACACAGTGAGACTCCTAACAACCATGTGTATGTATATGGGATCACAGGCTGTCCAAATCCAAAATCCGAGCCACAGGACATACCTGCAATCACGTCAAGAATCAAGCGACAAACACGCACTACACGGAGTCAACCCCAACCATTCTCTATGCTCATACCCTCTTCGCTTTAGTCATGCAAGCCCCAACCGCCGATACAACCAACCTTAATTAAATACTCAGTACCTTTGTTAAATGGTCATTCAATAAAAGTCCGGGTGAAACCCTTAACAAACAGTAAGATCACCAGGGCTAAAGCCTTTTAGGTTGAGAATGGAGAGTGGATTGAGATCGAGTCGTAAATCGACGAATCGACAACCGACCTGTTATCAGTGATAACAGAGGATGACCCTCAAGGGATCAAGTTGAATCTAGTCCTCATCTTGGATCAGACACCCCAAAGGACTTGTAACACAAGATAGGTCAAATGCCCAAGCTAAGTCATCAGCATATGGGGGATAAACCTCAATGACACATTCTCGTTCAAAGCTTTCTGCCAACTAAGTCCAAGCCTGCCTCTAAGCCAGTACCCATGTAAAAGGTAGGCTAATGGCAGGATCTTCCCTATTCAGGGTGGATTGTCAGGATCGTCACCTGTCAAAATATAATCTAACTCCTCCAGTTCAAGAAAATTTCGGCGGCGCTTCCCGTAGGAAAAGTGTCTTTTCAAAATTCATATCAGCCCGCATATGGAAATAGAAATAGTTTTTGAGTTTTCAAAGTTCAATTTTGTCTAACTCTCTGAATTAGCAAAAATTTGGGCAGCACTCCTTTTAAAAAAGAAGACTTTCCAGATTTTACTAAGTGATGTATAGACTTTAGACAAGTTGAACTTTGAAAAACCAAAATTTGACTAACTCCCTGGATTTGTAAAAATTTCGGCAGCGCTTCCCGTAAAGGAAGTAGCTTACCTAAATTTATACAAGGCCAAGTATAACAAAGAATCTCAGAAAATGCAAAAATTGATCTAAGTAAAATAAAATCAGACCTGAAAATGCAGGAATCGACCTAACTCCTATCGCTCTAGTACGTGGCGAGCCTCCAAAGCAACTACGTGTCAACCTGAAACCCAGACCAAGTAGTAATCTCACTCATCCACATGCAGGCCAAACCACAAAGGTAAGTACTCTCGCGAACCCCAAGTTCCTTTAGCAAACAATAGTTCATGCCTTCTCAATGTCTTATCCCCTCATACCCAACTTACATAAGGCATAGGTCAGGGCACCTGAACTTACAGAGCGCGCCTAACTTAGCCAGGCCCAAAGTCAGAATACCTAAACTTATAGAGCGTTCTGACTTGGCCAGATATACACAAACAGAGGGCACAACTACTTCTCTCTCCTTTGGGCGTATAACTAGACCACTCTAGTCACCCTGAACTGTTTAAATAGCCAAATTATATATACCTCTCTGAGTATAGTCTTCAAAGGGGACATAAGGCTGAGCCGCTCAACTTAGAACATTGTTCAGCCTGCCCAAGTTTACTTTCAATTATATCTCTAAGTTATACTCTCTTCTTTGTGATAAGCTATAGTCAGGCTACCGAAACTTATAGAGCGGCCCGACTAGCCCTGTTCCTAATAGCATAGTAATACAATATAGCAAAATTATGTCAATTGGGTTCCAACATGTACGAGGCATTGGGTCAGACTACCTAAACTTATAGAGCGGTCTGATCCTCTGCCAGGTTCGTTTCTCTCTGATCTAGCTGTGCGAGGCAGTGGGATAGGCTACCTAAACTTATAGAGCGGCTTGTCCCCTGCCAAAATTAT